CGGTATTCCTGTTGTTGATCTGTGTACATACCACAAAATCTTTGGCAAGTTTCTCAGCATGTTCTGCTCTGTTTTTATACTCCTGGTGTTCAGATTTCATAGATTTCAATTCATCCTGTTGTCTTGTGACTTGTCCTCTCTTAGATCTGATGGTGCTAAGTGCTCTCTCTAATTCACATTTCAAACCATTTACTACATCATCATGTGACATGTTATCAGTCTTGTCCAACCTAGAAAACGAAAAATATCTTTTCAATCCACAGTGTTTTGGGTTTATACAAGTGTATTGGCGTTACAGTACATGTAATGGTCTGACAAGATTAAATTTCACTTATTCATCATTCCTAAACCTTCAGTGTAGACGTGGGGTTATTATGAAAATAACTGATACAGAACTTTCATTTTTCAATGATTTGTAGCATGTCTAATATGTAAGGCCATCAATTCAGATTCCTATATAACCATTTTTTCATGTGCTAGTGCTTTTGAATTTTGACTTTCACTACCTATGTTCCAAATAACTGCCAGCCACAGTAATTTGGCAAAAATCCAGACAAATAACATAACTGGTACTGTTACACAGACACCATGCATGAAGACAGTTATTGTCACATTCCAGTAAATGCATTACTGGCAATGGCAAACGTAAAGATTCACTACTTACGTGTGTAGCTTTGGTGTCTTCCACTCTTTATTGCATTCTTTAGATTTAATACCTAGATGTGCAAATGAATCAGATAATCCTTCTTGCTGTACAACACCATTACCAGAATATACACCTAGTGTGGCTGCAGACTCATACATCTGAATTTGTTCTTTTAGATCTGATACTTCATCCTAAAGTTCAGAGAGTAAAGAATTCAATATAGTTTTTTTTCAAAGCAATGATCTTGCAGCAAAAAATAATGTGAATGTGCTGAATACACTGAGTATAGAAGACACGTTGGAAGGAAGAGCAAGTAGTAGGAAACTCACCTGCAGTGCTTGGTACATTCCTTCACTGATACTCTTGGATGTATTGGCTTGTTGGAGCTGAATCTTCAACTGACCAATCTCCTGAACTGAACCTAGAAATGAAATAAACGATGTCAGTTTTTGCAATTAACAGTAGCCCAAGGAATACAGAATACCAATAAAACCAGTTTCCCACAAAATTAGAGATTTAAACAGGCCTGCTAGAAATTTAGAAAGAATTTCCACATCTACTTTCTGATGAAATATATAAACCAAGTTGAACAACAATTTATTTTTATTATTGCATCACTTTATGTATTAAAAAATTGCTACTAACTGATATTAACTGAAATGGAACTTACCAGTTTCTAAGAGACCTCGACATTGTCTCTGACTCTCTTCAAGATTTCTTGTCAGTTTATTGATGGTTTCTGTGTAGTCTATCTGTGACCGTTCAGAATTCTTTTTCACATCGGACAGCTCTATTTTCAAGTTATTGTTCACCTCAATCTGCCATGAAAATAATATTTGTTGAGTGTTCA